TTAAAAAAAAAAAAAAAAAAAAAAAAAAAAAAAAAAGTCAGGAGGGTGATATTTTGAGGGGTATTAATGGCAGGGTATTTTTTGGCTAATAAAATTTTTAAAAATTTAAATATTCACTGCATATTTTGATCACCCTTTGTGCCTAGTTGTACCCCTAGAGCCTCATGCAGATGAGGTGGGACTTCCTTCTTCTGAGGTAGCTGAATCTGGAGTGTGTGCTGCTGGGGTTAAGGGCGTGTGACTACTAAACCACTACACAGGAGCCTTTAGTTGGCACTGGCCTAATCCTGGTAGTCTGGGTGGGATTAAAAAGAGGCAGCAAGTCTCCGCGAAGGGCCCTTGTTCCCTCTGCTGCCTTGTGCTGCTGTTTCTCCTCTGTGACGCTGGTTCGTTTGCCGTCACAGCCTCGGAGCCAGCCAATTATGGACTGAAACCTCTAGGAACTGTAAGTCCAATAAACCCCTTCCTTGCTAACTTTGGGCATTGGGTATTTTGTCTCAGCAATGACAGAAAATTACACAGCCCCTTACGTATGATTGATGGAGAAGTGTTTTGCTGTCATTTCCTTTATCCTCCTCAGGGTCTCCCTTCCTGAACTCCATCCATCCCGGCCTCAAGGTCGTCCGTCATGCTGAGGACCTGGGAAGCATCTGTCCATGTTTGCGTCTTATCAGGCATTTTTCCACCTCCACATACATGTCAATCTCCACGTGCAAAGCATTTTTGAAGCACTGTCTTATAACCCAGCATTCAAAGTATCGCTTGCATTGTTTTTTTTCTTGGTACCGGGAACTGAACTCAGGACCTTGCGCTTGCAAGGCTGGCAGTGAAAGCACTGAGCTAAATCTCCGGCCCCTGTCTTGCATGTTATCCACACTGTTCAGCAGTGTCACCCGGTTTAACTTCGGATCATTCCCTCTAGAGAACATGGCTGGAAGACTGCAGTGTGTCTGTGCATTGCTGAGCCTCTATTTCGTTGTCTTCAGGTTTTTGCTCTGCAAATAGTGAGGCAGTGAACGTATTTATCTTACAGTCTTGAACACATATCTTTACCTATGACTGTGTGCTGTACTAGTCAAGGAGAGGAAGGCAGATGTGGAAGTAAACTCCTTAGATATGAAGTGTTCTTGAAAGGCCTATTTATGGAAGGCTTGGTTCCCAGCCAGTGGAGTTACTGGGAGGTATGGCCCAGTGAGGGGAAGTCAGACCATTAGATGTGAGCCCTCAAAGGGAATACTGGGACACCAGCCCCTTTCTCCCTTTCTGCTTCCTGACTGTTACACAGTGAGCACATTCTTCTCTCACGTGAACCTCCTAAGATGTGCTGCCTCCCCGTGGGCCCCATGGTCAGGGAGTGAAATGACTATTTGCTGAATCTTCCAAAACCGTGAGCCAAAAAATAAATCTTTCCTCCTGACTGATGGACTGACTGATTGAAGGCAAGGTCTCACTTTGTAATTCAGGCTGGCCTCACACTGGTGGCCATCTTCCTGCCTCAGCCTCCCTAGTGCTGAGTAGAAGAGTGTGCCACCATGCCTGGCACCTGGCTGAGATATATTTCAAAAACTTAAATCTAAGCCGGGCATTGTTGGCACACGCCTATAATCCCAGCACTTGTGAGGCTGAGGCAGGAGGATCATGAGTTCGAGGTCAGCCTGGGCTGTATACAAAGTTCAAGGGTGAGCTGGACCATGTAGTGAAAACCTATCTAGAAATTTAAAAAACCCAAACAAATAAAAACTTAGCATCTGTATCAGTTCTCCCTCCACTTTGTGATAGCTACTTATTAAAGCAAGTAGATACTGTGTGGGATTTCCCACACTCTTCGCTAGACAGATGATACTGTACCATCTTGGTGTCTTCTGTTTCTTGCCCTCCATATTTCTTATCATCTGGTAGAAGTTGGTAGCGGTTTGATTATGTTCAGAGTCAAATTGTGTACAAGGATAATTCATAGGCAGCCTGTGTATTGCCTGTTCTCTTACATCAGGTGACAGGCATCAGCTGCCTCACTTCCAGGGATGTTAACCTAAATCAGCGCGTTCAGGTTTTGTCAGCACAATCCAGCCATTATACAGTTCCCATGGACCTCTCACCTTGTAACTTGAATAGCCTTTGATGATTGTTGCCTATCCAGATGCTTCACAGGGAATAAATAATGACTTTCAAATTACCCCATTCTCTTACATGTATCGCCTTTACAAACTACGTAGGTAGCCTGAAATATTTGGCAGAATAAATGCTTAATTCCTTCCTCTTATTTACCAGTTTTCAAAATATAATCGGTTGCTTAGGTGATCAAAAGATGAATGATGAGGGATTTTAAGCATCACCATGAATTCATCAATGTGTATATATTTAATTTGTGTAATTCATATTATTCTTTTCCTGCTCAGGTTGTTCCATCTTTGGCCAAAGGGGACAATTTCATCTTCATTCTTGGGTTCTTTTGGCAGTTACCTTGCTTTCCAACACTGTAATGCCAGATTCATCTTGTGTGATTCCTCTTTCAGTTCCAAAATTAGTCTTTCCCTAAGCTAATGATGATGAGTCCCCTATTACATTGAGAAAAATTAATCATGAATTCATACTGACATTGACCAAATTTCAGATTGTACAATTTATACCTAATTTATTTTATTTCATAATCTTTTTACCTTTCACTGAAACCTTGGAATCTAATTTTAGATTTTTACTTATTTGCTATTTTATATACACACGTTATACACAATATACATAATAGCTTCTGAATAATAATACCACAATACTATTATATGTAGTTTATTTCTTTGCCATTTTCTTTTGTCCTTAGGATAAGTCACACTAAGGGAATATAGTCAAATCAAAGAGTTTTACAGTTAGTTTTCTGAGCTGGGGATTTAGCTTAGTGGTTCTGCCACCTGCCTTGCTAAGCACAAGGTCCCGAGTTCGATCCTGTTTCCTATTTCTCTATGTGGTTATAGCAGCCACTCAATATATACTCTGTGTGTGTGTTTAGGAAATGTTTTGTTGTTCTCTTTTAAAAAATAATTCCACATGAGGCTCTGAGTTCAATACCCAGTATAGGGGGAAAAAAAATAGTAACACATTTACATGTTTCCAAACTCAAAACAATAAGCTGCAGTGTAAAGAAAGAGGTCTGGCTTCTACTCCTATTTTCTTCAGTCTGTTCTTCTTATATGTAATCTTTTCATTAGTTTGTAATTTATACACCATGGCTTCTCCTTTAACATAAGGAGATGCACACAACATTGTCCCGTTTGCTCAGATTTCTTACAAGAAGGGCACAATGTGCATGGGAAGAGGGAAGAAACGCTCACACACGGGAAGGCGACAGACAATAACTGCCCCTCCTTCGCGTCTTGCTCAGAGTGGGTCGTTATCCGGGAAAGTATTAGGAGATGGAATTGCCAAGAAAATCGTGAGCGCCACCAATTGGTCAGAGAAGGAAAGGCCAAATGAAAAAAGGCTTAAAGACAAAATGCCCTGGAAAGAGAAAACGCTAACCCCGGTGTGGAACTTTCCTCCGCCATCGTTCTAAATCCCTCCCGCGCGTCTCATAACCCCAAGAGGTAGGGCCTATCGTTTCCCACACTGTCTCCTCACGAAGGACAGAAACCCAGTCACAGAGTTCTGTTTTACAGAATTTCTGCCCCAATATCACAACTGGAAGGAGGTGTTGAGGTGGGTGAAAAACTCTACTCGCCTTTTAGACCGCCAAGGGCCCCAATAACTAATCCCAAAACATTAAAAAGACCCCCCAAGTTCAGATCAGAAGGGTAATGTGCCGACGTCGTAACAAGGACTGAGGGAGGCACATCTCACGCACACAGCATGAACACCCAATCATCACGCTCATGAACCGAAGGATCGGAGTAAATTTTTTAGCGGCGAACATCCAGGTATATGCCACCAATTTTACACAAAGGGCGACCATCACAGTGCAGGAAGATTCAGTATTTATTTATAATCTTCTATGAAATTAAAAATTAGAGTTGATATCCTGAATAATTCTTTTGTTTTTCTTTTAAAAAAATAAAACACAAGCAAAACTAGCGACTGAGTGCTTATTTATGCAAATATATTCGCCCTAGCTCCACCTTTTCTGCTTTTTTCTCAACCAGGATTTTTTTTTTTACGGCTTTACGACCGCGTGTAGTGTGTCGTGAAACGAAGCGTTAGGATAGTATTGGCGGAAGCTACTCTTGTGCTTTGCGGCACTGATCGTCTCTGAGACCGGATGGGGCCGGAAGGGCTGCTGGTATGGCAGTTAGTGTTCGTGTCATGGCCCCGCAATTTATTTCTTAAACTCCTTTAAAAAAAACAAAAAAAACTTTTATTCTTTTTACGCCTCTAGAAAGAGAAGTCTCGCCACTGCATCGTCTGACTCTAGCAGAAAGGCCTCTTTCCATTATACACGTTATTATCCCGGCAGCCTCGCCTGCCTGTTCCAAGACGTCTCGCCCTTTCATTTGTTATTTCTGTTCTTTGGGAGAATCCCATCTTCGGAGTCATCCGCTCTTATTTGTTTGGTCCCTCCTCGCACCCATCTCGGACTCCGGGTGACGGAATAGGGTTGACCGGCTCCTCCGTGCTGCAGTCCGAGGAATGGAGCCCGACGGCGCTGAGACTTCGCGGGGAGTCGCTTCCGTGCCGGGAGAGGGGTCTCCCTCTGCCCTCGGGCGCGCCTTCTCCAAGATTTTGCTTTGTCTTACCAGCCCGGAGGCACGACGGCGCAACACAAGAGACGTTGCTTTTAAAGACCTCAGTACTCTGATAGAAGTCACGGAATGTGACCGATTATTCGAGAGGAGTGGCGAACCTTGCCACAAAATGCTTGAGACACTGGGGGAGGTGGCAAAAGCCCTGGAGAAGTATGCTGCCCCGCCCAAGGAAGAGGAAGGGGGAGGTAATGGTTCCTCTGAGGTGGCCGAGAAAGCAGCAGAGGTTGGACTGCTATTTCTTAAACTCTTGGGGAAGCTTGAGGCTGCCAAGAACTCTCAGGTCTGCCCTGCTTGGAAGACAGGCCTGCGTCACTTGGCAGGACCAGTCTACGTTTTTGCCATCACACACAGTTTAGAGCAGCCGTGGACCAGCCCAAGATCTCGGGACGTTGCAGGACAGGTGCTTGCTTTACTGCTTCAAGTTACTGAGTGCAGTTCTGTGGCAGGGTTCCTATGCGGGGAAAACGAAGAGGACAGAGGGAGATTTACTGTGATCTTGGGGCTTCTCAAACCCAATTTGAATAAGTGAGTACTCCTGCCCTTCGCCACTGACTTGAGCTTCGCCCTAAAGTTTTAAGAGTTCAAAGGAACTTGAGTTTCTTCATCAGGAAAATAAGGATGTTGTGATAGGACATCTTTTAAACCTGGAGAGTTTGTGTTTGCTAAAAATGAACTAACTAGACAGTAGCAAATTGAAGATTAGAACCCAGTTTCTTTCCAGCAGTGAAGCATCTGCCTTTGAGAGTTGGAAATTCTTCTGAAAGTGATACAGAAAATTGGAAATTCTGTCCATCTGTCTGGAATTAAGTATTTTGTTAGGTGAAGATGGTTTGAAGAGGATTTAAATTTATATTTTCAATTTAAACAGCTATTTTTTAATTCATTACTTATTAGGGAAGGAATATTTGAAATGAAAAAGTAAAGACTTTTTAGTCTACTCTTAGCTAAAATACTTTTTGTGAGTTTCCAGTAGCCATTTTGTTTAGTATGTGTAGCACTGAGGTAATGAGAAAAAAGGTCCATAACCATTTTCTCAGGAACTTGGAGTTAAAAGGCTTGGATTGGAGACCAGTAGTACTTCTAATTGCTGAGTAGGACAAGGTTATAGCCTCTCTGAATCTGTTTCATTATTTTCAATATAAAGATGACGTACCTATTACAGTTATTATTTAGAGGATTAGTTGAGTCGTTTTATAATCTATAAATTGATGTTTGGATGTTGTTCACTTGTTCCTTTATAATAATAATAGACATTTCCTTTACTTCTCTCCTGTCTCAGTACACCATCACGAGTAAGTTATGTAAATTGTTTTAATGCGCATCATAAAAAGTATTACCATATGTTGTAAAATCAAGGGTTTCTGGGGAGAGGGGTACTAAAGATTGACCTGAGGGCTTTGTGCATAGTAAGCAATCATTTCAGTGCTGACCTATATCACCAGCACCCCCCACACTTTTTTTTTTGTTTTGCTTTGTTTTGTGCTACTGGGGATGGAACTTAAAGCCATCACACTGAACTAAACCTGCAGCCCTTTTTATTTATCTACTTTATTTTGAGACAGGGTCTCACTAAATTGCTAAGTTGTCCTGGCTGGGTTTGAATTTGTGACCTTCCTGCTACACCTCCCATAGTGTGAGAATTACAAATGTCCACCACCACGTCCAGCCCTCAGCCCTTTCTTATTTTTTCAACAACATCTCACTGAGTTGCTTATTGGCCTGACCTGAAATTCTTGATCCTTCTAGCCACTTCTACCTAGCTTGAGTAGCTAGGATTACAGGCATGGGCCACCACAACAATCTGACCTTGTTAATTTTCTTCACTAGTTAATATTCTGTGCCTGTACTTAGTGTGATTTCATGTATCCATTTAGGGAATCCTGGAAGAATAACCCTGCTGTCAAATACGTTTTCTCATGGACTCTGCAACAAGTCACTCGGCCCTGGCTAACCCAACATCTAGAAAGGATACTCCCCCCATCCTTGCTCATTTCAGATGATTATCAGACTGAGAACCAAATCCTTGGTGTACGCTGCCTGCATCATGTTGTGCTCAATGTGGTAAGCAATCTGCTGTAACCTGCATTTGTGAGACAGGCTGACTTGTTGGCTATTCTTTATTTGCTTACATTTATTCTAAATCTTTTATTAACTAGCTTTCTGTTAACGCTATTGTCATTAAATTCACTTATTTATATATTTTTCTCCTTAAACTTTCCCTCTGCCAACCTGGCAGAACCTGTACATTTCAAGGTAATATAACTAAAAGGATAATTATGTGGCTTGGGGTGCAGCTTAGTGGTAGAGCATGTGCTTAGCATGCTCAAGGTCCTGGGTTCCATCCCCAGCGCCAAAAACAAAAAACCCCACCCAACAACAACAAAAATTAGGGTAATTACAGAAGAAGTAGGAAGGCCCAGGTCACTACCAAACTGAATGACTAGTCCTTGAGTGATTAACGGGTGACTTTCAAAAAGCAAAAATCAAATCGGAACCTGAAAGGAACTATACAAAATCTGTAAGTTATTACTCAAACTTTTTTTTTACTTTATATTATGGAGCTTTCAAAATATACACAGAAATAAGCCAGGCACAGTGGTGCATGCCAGTAATTGCAGCACTTAGGAGGCTGAGACAGGAAGATTGTGGCAAGTTTGAGGCCAACCTGGGCTACATAGTTCAAGGAGCCTGAACT